ATGGAGTCCTACTTTCCGTAATTTGTTACATAGAGTGACCTACAGTGTCGCTGAATAGCGGTCCTCAGGTTCGACTAAATTTTACACTTTCTGTTGTCGCCTTATCGTTCATTTTTTCTATCCAATTCAACAACTCTGAATATCATGTAATATTTATCTGCTTTATTGGTGTTTTTTCCAGTACTCTGAAATGAAGTGCAGTCAATCAGAGTGATGTACACTTATTTAGCTCCCTCTTTTTTTAGATTAAGACGTTTTATTTAATGTATTTTTGTTTTAACAAAACTATTCCCTACTGTATTTCAAAAACCATCGATAGTTAAGCTATTTTATTCTGTCAGTGAATCTTAAGCAAGAGACTTTGTATACCAACACATTTTTAGATTTTACTATGTTCAAAATAAAAGGTCTCTGCACTCACTCAAACCTTTAATGTCCAATGATAAAGATACTGCCTAGATGAAAGTGGTCATTACTTTTCGCCAGTTTCTTGTCGATTAAGTCTTACTGTGGGCGTTGATATGCGATTTATGTACCACAATACTAAGATTTATTTTTTTTATTTTCAATCTTTTTACTTCTGTAAAGGACTTCAACAATTCTGTGAAGGATTCTTAACAAATTTATTATTACGAAATTATAATGAATACTCAATTATTAATGTGAGAGTAAGACTTGGGCACTGTGAAATGTTCAAACATGTTGATCAAATTTGTAGGTTTAAGAGATATTTACAAAAGAAAAAAAATTTCATATCTGATCATTGTAAGTAAACCTTTCTTTTAACTGACCTCTTGACAGGATGATTCGTTTCATAGTTCAATAACTCTTAATGGTGGTAGTTACACAAAGAACCAGATGCACAGTGACAGTAGAATCTATATTCCCGATTACTAACAGGCATTGACGGCAAAAGTACTTTATCAAGCATACTGGACAACATAATTTGATGTATAATAAAAATGCACTGCAGGTTTTCTGAGTCAAATACTTGGAGTACAGTACAGTACTAGCCATTCAAGCACAATAGTTTAATTTTAAAAAACTGTCGAGATAGTAAAATAAAATTTTAGAGATGGGCTTACGATAGCTAAAAGTTCAATAACACGCACAACTAAGCCACCAGAGGGGATAGAGCTGCAATTGTAGAGGTTTAGTCACTATACTTAACTGAGTGATAATTATATAAAGATTTACCCACCAAATAAATGTATAAAATATACTACACAAATGACTGAATGTCTTTTTCGGGTCTGCGAAATTTATATCACTTATACTACAGATGCATAGAAGGGTTTTAACTGTATTCAAAATGTGATCTTTTAAATAGGTTAGTCACCTATGAGCAACCTATTTATCTGTCTACTCCTTAATGGTTAGTAAAGATCAAAGTCATTCCATCAACTTTCGCGATTCCGCCATGAAGCAAAGTGATGTGACACTAATATGCACTAGGTTTTGATGTCAGACAGTGAAAGTCAAACAAAATGTGGCGTTTTTATTAAGTTCTATAAAATGAACGTGCACATGTCGTTGGTATTAGTATGTCACCCTTTTTAAATAGATAGTAGATCTCCTCTGTAAATTGTATCAGTAGAACAAAAGGGTGTTTCCAAAAGAGTTCTGCCTGTAAATGTTAGTCGGTTAGCGGAAATTACTCTCGCTAATGTCAAGAACACTCTCAAGTCAAAACCACTAACGAAGTTAACGCTACTAGCTAAGTAACTTAGAGTGATTATAAGCAATCTGCTTGAAGATGGATTTTAAACAGTTTCCGTGGAAAGCTATGATCTCTAGCATCGAATATAGTAGATATTAAGACAAATCCTTGTCATGGGGATATCTGATGACGATTATGTTACATCGTAAAGTGATCTCCGGGCAAGAAAATGTTTGCGCAGTGCTGAGCAGCTTTAAACCAACAGGAAACAGAAGTTTAAAGGTTTCAGGTTATCAATGATTTTACATATGATGTTAGTATATGGTAATAAACACTCGGTAGATTGTCACTGGTTTTTCTTTAGTCAGTATCTATGACTAACAATAAATGCTTTGTTAGCATTTTTCCAAACGTTTTTCTTTGAAGAAAATAAAGGGTCTTAAACAAACTACCTCTTGTTTCTTAAGCTTTCATAATCATACATTATGTAATAGCAATCACCAAATGGTTTCCAGAAAGTCAGTTTTTAATCTTTTATATAAATGAACACTTTATTTCCACTACACTGTTTCAAGGTATACATCTGTTTCATACAACTAAAAAGAAACTAACCAACTGCAAAAAACACAGTTTCCACATAGAAAAATTTGACAGACATTTATTGATGAAAAACAAAACTTTTAATGATCTTGAAAAATTTATGCAAAAATTTGTAGCCTTTTTGGATAGATTCAAGTAGCTGCTAACGGAAATGAAAACTGGCATATATTATTAACTGAAATTTTAATCTCGTTCCTAAATTAAAATTATAACAAGTTCTTGAACACATTTCCTTTATCAAAGTGAACAGTAACTACTTTTAATTTCAATGTTTCAATGAGACCACATAACTAATAGTAGCAGATTTAAGTGGATATGCACTGAATACTTATTTTACACAAGAAGAGATTTGGAGTAAAAATAGTAATATTACTGAAATTTTAAAAAAGCAACGTAGTATTAAGTTTATTCAAACCAGTCAATCACTACTAAAGTAAATTAAATTTTATTCGACTTCAGCAATAATGTTAACTAGGATAATTATGATTGTCTCACTGCTGACCTAAGTTGGTGACAACAGTAAGAGCTTTAAAAATGATTAAACATGCACCATACAGATGAAGGAATAGTGAATTGTGTTTTAAGATGGAAATCTGTTCACTTAGCATATTTAAGTAATCATCAATGACGTTGATATCACCATTTGTCTACAACTCCTCACGCATACACACACACACACCTGCATACACTTCGAAAGATGCAGACTTTCAGTGTGGAACACATGTGAAGACTCATATTAGTATGACCTAATCAGCCCAAAAAACTTACTAATGGCACTGGTTTACATGTAACAGGTGAGTTGACTATATTGTAGATTCCTGAAAACTGATCTGTTGTCATATCAAAAAGTGCACCGTGATACTAAGCTACCTAGCCTAGTGGTCGCTTTGCGAAATGATCAATAGCATCAACTTAGCACTTAGGACTAGAAAACATGGGGATGGATGCCCTCCCATAACCGTTCAGTATATGTGACCCAGTCTAACAGGGGGCCAACTGCATACCTGAATACCTCATTGGTTATGTCGTTGAACACAACACTGTATGAGTCATCAATTTCGTCGAGATTAGAAATACGCCTTACTGACAAGTGCCAACAAACACAAAACCTAGGTGGGGCAGCGCATTCTGCCGATTGCCTCCAGCCAACTGGCATCCATCAATGTGCACCGTGATGGTGAGCCTTCTGGCTTGTTGACCCCATTGCAGAAATGATCCATGGAAAACGGGCAGTACTCAGGACTAGACAACATGAAATCGGTTGCTCTCCCGGGCGGGACCAATCAAACATACTGCATATCAGTGATGTACTGGGTGACTTAGTAACCACATTCAAATTATGAGTAAAATAAGTGATCTTCATTTTGAAATGAAAATTTACAGTGATTGTTGTATGCACAACAATATGAATGCTGAAACCAACTTCAATGCATCAAAGATGTAGCTGAATTTCATTTGTATTCACGTGCACAATAACATGTTAAATAGAACGCCGCAAATTGTAATAAATCATATCAAATATGTAGATACTGCTTGAGTGAATTAAACAAATATTGTTTGTCGAAAGAAAAATACGAAAATTCCATAATAATCTCATGTAAGAACATATATCAAGTTGATATTTATCACGGACTGACATCAGTTAGAGGAAAATCGAAAGCTCTTGGAGCACTGAACAGCTTTTTTGTCCCAGGAAGTACCTATGGCCATCCTTAGGCTCAAATTCAGAGCATTGAAATTTCACAGCTAGTATGTTGTCATTTAGCCACAGTGTAGCAATTCATTGCTTTCAAATATCCTAATCCTGACAATTAATTATATAGTTCCACCTTCATTCGATGCTATCACTGACAATTTGATCTCACCTCCGACTGAATTTGTCTTACGAGTCATGACTTTTTATCAAAGCTTCGAAAAATCTCGTCTTTAAGCAAGTTACTAATTGCTATTTCATTGAAAAAAGTTACAACATGAAAATTCATATAATGATGAATATTTTGCAATCTTTTCAAGTCAGTCGATGATTAAGTTGGACAAATCCTAATAAATAATTCGTTAAGCGTGACACAGTGTTGAAACATATCATTAAGTAGAACAGGTTTCCGAATGCTGCGAAAATATCTCAGTAAGGATAAGAGTAATAAAAATTATTCATTACATAAAATAAAACTTTAAATTGAAGGCTATCAAGAAACAAAAGCCAAATGCTTACATATTTTAGTCAGTATTGGTTAAATTATTGGTAACTGTTTAGCTGTTGAACGCTTACTTGAGCAAACAAACCAATAATTAGTAAGTTAACCCTAATATCAAGGCAAAATACTTCGAATTATTCAATCCAGTATAACAAAGGATAATTATAAGTATATCAACAAATGATAATAACTAGTACCTGCTGTATAAGAAAGGTGGATAGCATGCCTTAGTAGCCTAATGGATAATATTTTGGCTTTCAAAGCTATAATTATAATGTTTAAGTCTTAGTGGGAACGACACCACTCACTAAGGTACAGGTTCATTCAGCTGACGAGTCCTAAAGTCGGAAGAAACGCAAGGCTTTGACTTCTCTCCTAGTCACAATTAAGTAAATTATAGTTATCCGCAGTTTAAATAATGCCTCGATACAAACTATTTTTGCTATGAAAAGGCCTTAAGTTACTTTACAGTATAAGCATAAGATACTACTAGTTGCATGTATGAGAAAATATCATATCTATAAACATCGTCGCGATGAACTTACCTCTATCTTTTAAGTCCTCAGAACTTCCTTCAGAATCATTAAAACCTCCCCAATTTAAGTTAGTTGTATTCAGTGAATTTTGAATTCTCTTATAATGTACAAAGTCAGATTTATTGAAGTTACTATTCATCTGGCTGTCATTGATACTGAAAGTTTTATCACTACCACCGATATTACTTACATTTCCTTCAGTAATATAATTATTATTATTAGTAGTAGTGGTGGCAGTGGTAGTAGTCATCATAGGCTGAATCATTTGTTCAGTGAGATAAATAAAATGATATATTGAAATTATTAAAGCTGAATGCAAATATGTACACATGTATGGAAAACAGAATGAAAGTTCGTCTTACTGTCTATAGATATTATTGTATAGGTTGTACTGATGTATCAACGTAGAATGTTTCACACATAGAAATAATTCGTAGGCAGATGGATTTTTAATTCATAAAAATATAGTTATATAAATAATTATATGTAACATTTTGGAGGTGAATATTTTCCTCTTTGAAAAAAAAAAGAAATGAATTTTCGGGATAATCATTTTTTTACAATCTATTTGTTTATTTCGTGAAGATTACGAGTTATTTATCTGTCTGTCCGGTCATTCATCTATTTATTAGAATGTTTATACTCATCAGTGGGTATACACAGTACCTCATAATTTACTGACTGACACTGTAACATTCGCAAAGAAGTGCTCGATTGGTTGAACAAAATATTATGTCATATGATTGGTCAGTTGTTTGAAATTTATTTTTTTAAATGTTTAGTCTAGTAAGTCTTAACAATCAGATGATTCATAGTAGCCAAAGAAGTAGCAGAGACTATGAAGTGAAGAAATTCCCTACCGTATAGTCTGTCTATATGAGAAGGGAAAGTCTTAATCGTTTTTCTTTACAACATACCTTATTTTCTGACAATACTTCAAAGAAGAACGAATAATAATTCAACCTTTTAATGTCTTCACTGCTAAGTTGTATCCAGATACGTTTGGAAGTAAGGTCATCTGTGAATGAAAATTGCAGTCTGTGTATAATTATCTTGTGAGTAAGAAGGAAAATAATTCAACCAATTACAATCTTTCTTTTCGACCATACCACTCACTAAATCTCCACGCTTGTATCAATAGGAACAAATAAAAGTTTACTATTGAATGAGTCGAGATTATAATAATAACATAATGCCAGAAGGAAGAACAATAAACGGAAAGTGTAACCGGAAGTAAAAAGAAAAGCACAGTTTTAAAACGATGTAACTGTCTTCTAGGTGTGAAGCTCTATAAATAAAGGTCTACTTCACAGGTTTACAGATGGTTAAGAAAGAGCCAAGTATGAAAATCAGAGTGGTAATAATGGAACTGACAAAATAAGAGAAAGAAGTTGGGATCTAAAGGAAATTTGGCGCTGTCCATGTTTATTCTACATATAGATATCAGATCTCCTCGATGCAGAGGTTTTGATTTTGCGCTGGTTTCAAAACGTTTGGTACGATCTTGCAAAACATTTGCAACAGATTACTCTGGTTAAGCTCTCTGCCAGGAGCTAACCGCATATTCAAGTACTCAACCTTTCACTGATTACATTCACTTTTTGCCGACCAATCAGAGTATTCCTCTGGGGCCAATCACAACGTGCGATATTTTTACAACCAGTATAACCAGCTTCATAGTAACGAGTACATTTGTAGATACATACAGAGGTAGTATGATGCAGCAAGGTATCCTTGAAATAATCTAGAGTTCCCAGGAGAAAATGTTTTCCTCAAGGATCTGTATAAAAATTTTTTGAGAATTTCTTGTTTCGCATTACTCTTTTTAACCACGTTAGAAATTAGGGATCACTTCAAAACAATTGGAAGTCGTTTCGAATGTTCATGTGAGTTCAGCTTTTCTACGAGTTCTACGTGGAAATTTGTTTTGAATGAGGAAACGCTGTATTCCTTCTAGTTTGTCAGTTGCATCTCTTGTAAAAATTCATATGATTCACGAAAACAACGGATGATTAAGGTTCCACTTTTCTATAAAGTTGGTATTTCACACTAGACATAATTACAAATTAGTCAACTCTCCAAATTTCTTTTTGACATCTACACTGAAAATTCTTTGCTCCCTGTTAATTACGGTTGTCTGCCATGTACAATGTCATTTACCAATGTATGATCTTGCCAAGCAATGGAATGAAGTTCGACAGGTATATCCTCTTTGAGTTCAGAATCCATTCATGTCTCCCGACCATCAGTCCTGAATAAACATTGGTTTCCATTTGGGTACAGTAAACAGATTTATTGTATCTTGTAGCAGTGATCTTTTTAGTACAACAAATTTACCAGTTTTACCGGAAACGGTAGAAATTTGAACAAACTTCCAAGGCACAAAATTACTAAGGCTACTAGTAAACAGTAGGCAAGTATTCATTTCATGCTTGATTTTCATCACTAGACAACCTGCATGTATGTCAGTCTACAATGAATAACAACTTGAAATAATTTCAAATCTCCACAACTCCCTCAAAATTTAATGAACTGGTGCTCATTGGTGACTAGTTTCGAGAAGTATTCCCGAAGTTCCAATGACAAGTCGTGACCGGTGGAGTCAAAGCCTGATGGCCATGAGGACAAATACTCAGCGATGACATTAGGTGGCGGTTGCGCTATATATCATGAGCTAACAGAAGTTGGAAATATGGAGCATTGGATTCTAACCCAGTGGCTCAATGGTAACGCGCTGGCCGCAGAACCTGAAGGCCGCGGGTACGATCCCTGCTGGTGGGGTTGTGGGTGCGCACTGTTGAGGAGTCCCGTACTAGGACGAAACAGCTGTCCAGTGCTCCCAGGTTTCCTTTGTTTCTCCAACTGATGTCAGTCTACAATGAATAACAACTTGAAACCTGCATATATCTTTGAGTAACAAAAAATGGACACTTTTTCCTCAACAAAACAGGACACTTTGCTAAAATTTCATTTCGCCATTATTGTTGACCTCCTGTTTATCGGTGATACGACTGAGGTTTACTGTCTATTTTCATTCAGGTGATACTATGTAGTTGTCATGGTCCTAGGTTCATCTGGGGGCCATTTTAAATCCAGGTATACTAATCCTGTCGACTTCAAGCATAGATCAAATGGCATATATTTCGACGACAGTGGAAAAACGGTTAGTTTCGGTGGAATTAGTCTATATAGTTATATACTGATTGAACACCAACTTACAATTCAAACTGGGATATCAATAAAAGAAATCATTGTAGAAATATAGCTGTGCCTAACGTCCAAAACCTTTGACTTTCGGAATATAATATACGAACTAACAGAAGGAGTTACCAAGGCTTACCAATATCTCTTGTCTTAGCACACATATTTATGGACCTTTGGAAACCGATAGTCGTCGAAACATTGAGTCCTGCTCCAAAAACATGATTTCGATATGTAGATGACACGTTGACAGTGCTTAAATCAGAGTACAAGGATAGTTTCTTTACACGCATAAATTCAAGAGTCAAAGTAATCCAGTTCATCCATGAATTAGTAAGTAGTTCAAAGGGAATTACGACGTTGGGCTGCAGAATAAAATGAAGGCCAGATAAGAGCTTAGATATCAGTATCTATCGAACATTTTCATGTTAGGATTGTTGCTTAGACTTCAAATCATCTCACTCCGTCATTTAAAGTGTGTTTGGTAAAATGTTCAAATAACAAAACCCAAAACCTGACTAATTAGACAGATTTGAATTGAACAAACATGTAAATGAAAGACACTTCATTCAATGATGATTGCCTTCCCAAATTAATCAATAAATTCACTAGTAATTGCAACGAAAATGTATAACTAATGGTGACGATACAGTTATGAATAAAAATCAAAGTAGTAGAAGCAGTATCAATAATAATAATGGTGGTTTTATTGAGAGAGAGTTAAAAATCTTTACAGTATTATTGTACAAGGAAGGCACTAAGGAGACGTTAGGTATGACTCTTAAGAGGGCTGGGAATAAAGAGGCATTTAAACTTCAAGTTCACCTAGAAATAAGTTCTGCAGGTTGAAAGATTCTGCTGGTCCACTTGTCAATATATTTTTGTTTGCCAATTCCCTCGCAATGAATGAGGGGTCAAATACGTAAGCAAAGCTAGTTGAAAGGTTTCAGTTAGACTGCCTAAACAAAGACACCTAGCGAAATCGAAATTAGTAGATCCTAGTAAGATTGGAAATCTAGAAACGCTGGGCCGTTGCTAAGTACGCAGTTACATGCAACTTCATAAAAGAATAGGTTAGAATGACAGTCCTGAAACCAACTTATTATGAAGGAAGGAAAGATTGATAACCGGAAGAATTTTTAAGGATATCCTAGGAACCGTTGAGATAACAAGTTTCGTTTTTTCATTCTGTAAAAAACCAACTTTCTGAACGTAATACTGGAACTTGGTTGGTTACTTCAGCGATTGCCAGGGTAGCATTTAAAGTCACTTGATAGCTGAGTAGTTATTGATCCGATCTGTGCTAAATAGGAGCAGCAGGAATGACTCAGCACCCATTCGAGATATACGAAAAATCCTACTACCCATATCATAATAAGGCGATAGAATCAGAATTATATAAACCATTTCTCAAGTATGTGTAATCGTCTTTGAGCAACCATGGAAAATAAAAGTTGTATACGAAACGTAATCCAGTAAGTTATACTACTTCGCTATATGATATTTTGGAAACCAATTGAAATGAAATTACTTTGTAATACACTGGTCAAGTTTTACTCTTATATTGATGAAATTCTATTTTAATACAAATTGAACTACTTGTAATAGCTATTTTAAGATTTCTCAGGAAAAGTTTCCAGATTATTTGTTCTTGTCGAAAAAACCTCGTCAAAAACCTGTCTACTAATTTTCTTTATATTTCACTTTATTCTGGTTGTCTGAATGTGATTTATCCATAGTTCATTTGTCTGTGCGTCTATGTGCAACAGCATATCTAAGCAGAATGATACAAACGTCTATATAAATTAATTGTGAAAATCAAAAATTACTGAGGAAAACTAAAGACTAATGAAGCTATTTCATTTATCTCATAATCTCATTGTAACTAACAAGAATTTTAATTTCACTTTATTTTCAGTTTTCAGTTTTTTTAAGTCG